CCCCCCCCCGTCTTCCTTGCTGTGGATACATGCTTGCCGGTGATAAGCAACCGGACTGATGCCCCCCAGAAGGGCTTTGTTCGCTTGAAAAATAAAAATAAAAGTAAATCATCTATCAAATAATAAATTCAATACACGTAAAGATATGTTCATTTCTTGCATTATTAATTATTCAATCACTATTGTATATGTGTGTTTATTTAAATGTTCGTCAATGTGTTATGACTATTGTGGGATGGATGGAAGATGTGGTAGATAGTTTACATTTTTGTACTGCTTTTAATGTGGAAAATAATGCCAAGATTTTTTGTTCTTTTGCAAACTTCTAATTCTTCCGCATTCTATTGAATGGATGGCAGGTTGCAGGAGTCCAAGACTGCTCAATGTCCTATCTGTCGGGTGCAGATCAATCAGGTTATCAAGGTGTTTGATACATAAGAGGTTTGGCTGTCATTCAGTCTTCGCTCAACTGAGACCATGTGGAATGGCAACATATGGCATTCGATCATTCGAACTCGAATTGAACCAAGCGGGATTCTTGGGCCTGAAAGTCGCGTGATCAGCTAAGTGAAATGACCATCCCTGGTGGACATGTCCCTAGGGGTTTTACTTAATCGATCCGGTGATCTATGTCGGATTGTCAGTGTGACCATCCCTGGTGGACATGTCCCTAGGGGTTTTACTTAATCGATCCGGTGATCTATGTCGGATTGTCAGTGTACGCGTCCTGGAAATGATCGTGCATTATTTCTGTGGAAGTCGATGAAAAGCAGCAGAACAGCATTTCATCATTAGGAGGTGATAGCCCAAGCTGTCTGGCCTGCGCTACCTTTGAATGCAACACGTGCTACGTGTAGATGATGACTGGTGTGCTGACCTTGTACTTTGTGTGTGTACTGTCTCTTATACACATCTAGATGTGTATAAGAGACAGGCATGAAGGAGTGTCTCATCTCATCATCACTCCTAACTTTTTTTTTTTTTTTTTTAATTTATTGGGATGATCTTGGTGGTGCAGAAATGTTCAACTGTCAAACCAAAAAAAAAAAAAAAAAAAGATTCTGTTNGCAGGTAGGGTGCATAATGTGCATGGTGAGACATCTTACCATGCATATGTTCTATAATGTGCTGGTGTTTGTATATCTGTGGCCTGATTTTGTGATTGCCACTAATTGATGCTTTTGATTTCCATACATTACTCGTACATTATTCATAGGCGAGGGTCTGGGAGGTTGAATTGTAAAGAGAGGAAGCAGTCCATCAACTGCTGGGGCGTATTCCGCTATCTTGTCCATGCTCATTTGTACAAATGTTGTCAAGGCTCACCAGGGTGTGAGAAGTGGAATCGTAAATGGATGAATACGTCTGGTCTGTGTAGTTCTTTAGAGATATTGCTAGTGCACGAGCACTGGCCACTGGATACACCTATTGCGCGTTGGCTGGTGGTTAAATACATTTGTGGTGACTTTGGGGGGGGGGGGGGGGGGGTATAGCAAGAAGAATTTGTGTGTCATCACTAGACATAGGACACATCCAACTGTCTATTTCACTGAGTTGTCCTCGTGTCAGACTCAGCCACTTGTTAGTGGGCAATTGCCAAGTAAGCACTGTGTGCGCCTCTACAGTATATACCTCTGGATGGGTGTGCAATCGTAATTTTTCATTCTGTGTTGGCCACAGGCTTGCTTTACAACATTTTAACGGTTTAAAAGGTATCTTTTTTCTGATCCTTGTTCCATTTCATGCCATTGGCATGCATGGTGGCAGATCTTCTGGATGTCTCTTTGGTGTTTGTACCTAGGGTTACGGAGAGGCTAATCAGAGTTTGTGGCATGATTGGCTGGCAATTGGAACAGTGCATGAGAAGATCCATCAGACATATTGCTTTGTCTGGCAGATGAGTGCAAGAGCAGGAGGGTTCAGCTCCAGATCAAGAGCTTGCTTGTGAGTTTTTTTGAGGTTATGCCACCCTTTGGGAGAATTATGAACCCCTCGTTCTCTTTTCTGAGACTCGGCATGTCTCCCTGTCTGATGTCTCTATCCTTTGGAATACATGCCTCTAGAATTTGGGGCTGGTGGATGCATCGAGGAGGGGGGGAAATCGGATGATGAGATGTGCATTGGAGAAAGGATCGAAATGGATTGCCAAATGATTGAGAGGATGGCTGAACTCCATGCAATGTTATTTTCCTGAGCTGCTTTGCCTTGTGGATGTGAGGGGGCTCCCATCTCTCCTGCTGATGCAGCTGCTGTGTACATACGACAGACACTGCAGCTTTTGCTGAGTGAAAGGGGATGAGAAGGAGATAAGGGGAGAGGAGTGTGCAAAGTTGCATACATTTTCCCTTTTCTACATGCCTGTCCATTGCCGGCTTTATCCAGCAAGATAACTCTTTTGGGATACATTTTCCCTTTTCTACTTGCCTGTCCATTTGCATGAGAAGGAGATAAGGGGAGAGGAGTGTGCAAACATTTTCCCTTTTCCACTTGCCCGTCCATTGCAGGCTTTATCCAGCAAGATGTCTGTAGTTCATTTGGGAACGACTCATGCAAGCCCCGACCTTTTTCTTAGCCCTCCTTTAGCATCGATTATGATTCCTTTTCTTTCGTCCAGCAGTTTCGGTTTTCCCGCCTCTCAGTGATATTCTGGGCTTTCTTGAAGTTGCATTCCCTTTGTTCTCATCCGTGTCTTTTTTCTTTTAAACTGCCGGTGGCCCTGATGACTCTTTGTGCACAACTTTGCGCCTGTGGCCAGCCATGGGCCGGGCCGGTAGGCCTCTTGGCCTTTTGCAAATTTTGTCGAGTGCGCCGTCTTGGCCAATTTTTCGTGCTCAGAATAATCGATTGACAAATCTGAAAGAAAGAGCTGGGAACAAGATTGATTGCTGGGAAGGGAAGAAAAAAAAACAAAAAAACTTTTCTTTATCGTATGAAAGATGCGGGCAGCAGAAGAATGCATTTTGTTCTCCCTGCTGCTACCCGCGACCAGGTGTGGTTTTCGCCGGGCTTTGTCATCGAGTTTTCATGAAATGTTGGGTGCACAGACTTTGGCGTTCTTGAGTGCTCCTCCTTTCAAAAGGGAAAAAAAAGAAACCACAAATCTGTTATGGCAAGAAGAATGATGATGGCAAAAGAATGAATGCCTTCCCTGCAAATCATTTTGGTTTGGTGGGCCATGTTCAGAAAGGAGGTGCTGTGGGCCATCCCAGTTCGTTACAGAGACCGGGACCCGAACCGGTGAGCAGGAGGGCCTGCCTACTAGGATCCACAGCGCGGCCTCCAGAAGAGACGAAACGAGGGAGGCCGCTGGAGGCAGCACTGGAGCAGCGTATAGCGGTCAGATAGCACCTGGTGACCTGGGTGACAGGAAGCAGTTGTCGTGACCCTAGGGGCAGTGCCTACCATAGCTGGGCAGCCCTGAGCACGAGGTTGGGGAGGAGGAGGAAGACAGTGGGAACTCGTGGTTCTTACCTGGTGTGAGCGAAGGGCACATGTGTGAGCAGACTTCAGCAGCGTCTGGCGATTTCCATTTTGTTCCTTATTGGCGTGCTCTCTGCTTTTGTGATTTTGCTCTCGATTCGGCTCACTGCAAGGAATACGAGCGATAGACAGGAAACCAAATTGCAAGGTCAGGCTGTAGACCAGATAGTCGAATACCAAGCAGATGCACCGAGATACCATCCAAATAAGAGCAAAACAATGAACTCAAATGTCAAATGCCAATCCTAGCACTCTCTATCCAATGTCGCTCATCCTGGTTGGAGCTCTGCGGCCAGCTTATGGTACTCAGCCTAGACTAGCCTACACTACGTATTGCAACAGGAGTCACTTCATACTGAAGACCAGTGTACGTGACGACGTCGCCAAACCCAGACTGCCAGCATACATCAGGTACGTGCCTCTTGTCCCGACAGCATGCGCCTCCTCTTCCCGAACGCCACCATCAGCATCACCAGTCTGCTCCCCAGCAGCCCGGCTATGGCCGCCGCGCACCCACTGCCACTGCAGCACCCTTCTCTCCTCCTGCGCCCATGTGTGCCCTGGCGCTCACCCTCTAGCACTTTGCCACCGCAAAGTAGCAGCGTGGCCGCAAGGTCAAACCAGCCAGAATGAATCCCCTGGCTGGGCATTCACTTTCCTATATGGGAAGTGAGCCTCGACTCTCTGGCTGGGCTGGGCCTGACGCGCAGGGGCCCAGTAGCTTCAGGTTGGACCAAAGTGTCTGCGCCCAGGCCCATTCAGACAGTTGCCTGGGATCGCAGCTTCAAGGTGCGCCCAACCACCCACTCGGCCTGTGACGTGTTCCCTGCTTCCTGATAGCACGAGAGGCCAGCTTCCACGTCCAAGCACAGAGCCCAGTAATGCAGAAATGGCAAAAACGGGGCCGCCGCGTATTGATTTCAGGCCCGCTTTCACTTAGGGTGGGCGCATTCCTTGCTAGGGGCCCGCCGGCCATGTGGAGGACGTGATCGAGCGGCTTAGGTGAGGACTCGGTCCTCGCATCACTCATACTTGGTCTTCTATGAGCTTTTGCATCTTGAAAATTTAGTTTTCTCATTGGGTGGTTTCAGTGTTGCATTTTGGATTCTCAACGTTGCGTGGGAAAGATAGTGGTGGTACTGGCACCTTATTGTTGGTGGTTCCTGAGTGCTGACCGGTCATTGAACAGGGCATCGTAATAGTTGGTGACATAATATGTTGTCGGGGCAGCATCAAGTTAGTATCCCCAACCTTATCTTCCCTCCTTTAATCTTCTTACTGTGAGGAAGACATTTCTACTTGAGCGTCCTCACATTGTGAGTTGCGAGCGCGCACGACCTTGAAAGTCGACCTCCTTTTGGCACATGTGGTTGGAGAAAGGTGGTGCATGGGAGGTGGATTAGGCACATGATATGGGACTAGTCCATGCATGCTTGCACAGATCACACGGTCAAATTGGGTAGCGTGGGAAGGGGAGTCCTCCTGTTGCGATTTGGTAAATAATTCCTGATCGGGTTGGCCACCCATTGATTAGTCTGTGCACGGGGGAACACTCCAGATTCTGCTAGGCACTCCTCTTGTGATAAAATATGGTCGCCAGTTAAGAGGGTGGGAGGGAACACTAAAGCGTGAGGAAAGAGGGTAGGTTCCGACTGTGTACTCAATTGTAGCTAATCTCCCCTGTTGCCTGTTACAAAAACCTTGCTTGCCGGTGATAAGTAACCGGACTGATGCCCCCCAGGGAAAAAAAATGGGTCGGTCAATTTCCGTATGTAGTATGTACTATCGTACTATGTCATATATTTTTATCTTTTGTAGTAATCACAATTTTAGTGGAAATTTGGCTAGTTGCAGGATAGACTGCTGTTTGTCCTAAAGGCATTGTAAAGACTTTTTTTTTTTTTTTTTTTTTTTTTTTTGGCGGGGGCTGAACGCCCGAAAGTACGGAGG